GAGCTGCAGGCTCGTGTGTGCTGCTGTCCGGAGCCGTGGTGCGAGTGGCATCTGCTGTGGGTGCCTTGGCTACACGTGCGTGCCCCTCAGGGGGAGAGCAGGGCATCCACGTTAGGGACTGAGAGCCTGCAGAGGGATTTTGGCCAAGCGGATGAACTGGGAAGAGCTCAGCAGCCAGAACGTGGAGAAACACCTGAAGGGTTTACGTTAACCTGGACGGGAATTTTGAGAGAGATGGAGGCTCYGTTGGAAGCCTGAGTGGCCATTGTGGTACTGACAGCAGCATCTCACAAGATGCTGTGGGAGCAGGAGGGAAGGCTGGAAACCCTATTTTTAGTCGTGCTACATYTGAATGGACAGGAGAATAAACATCCTTAGGGAGATGCCCAGGATGAAGCATGAAGGGTAGAAGAGAAAGAGAGGTCTTGTGTGTTCGTGAGCTCTCGGCAGCGGRTGCTGTCCTTGCGCTTGCAGGTGAAGTTATGTAATTAGGAAACGGAGACCAGAGCAGTAAGTGGTGCAACAAAACCTGGAAGATTCCCTAAGCATATACTGTAAAAAGATTTAAAAAAAAAAATTAAGCCAAAGAGGGGAATTAGAAAAGTAACATSATGACATGTGCTGAATAAGATTGAGAAATCAAGGAAAACAAGGATGGAGTGCTAAACCTGAGCTCCAGGCTAAGTGGTCACTAGCATCCTGAATAACTGTTACCAATTTTGGAAGTAGGAAAGCTCTGAAAAACTTGGGACACCCCYGTTAGGAAGTGGGGCAGCAACCAGAGGGATGGCGAGCGGCAATGGTGCTGGTGCCTGCCCCTGGCCCGGGAACAAGTGGGGGGACTGAGGGCAACTGGGAACAACTGGGAGCGAGCACCAGGGCGGGGGACGGGGCTGCCACATGTGAGGAGCGCTCAGGAGGTGGCAGAAACCCTTAGCAAGGGAGGAGGAGCGAAGCTGGAAGATGGAAACCCCAGAGCAGAAACCGGGATGGGGATGATGGCAGCCAGGGAGCAGCAGGAGCAGCGATGCAGCCATAGGCCGCGGTAACGCGGGTTGCAAGTCTGAAAAACAAGGTCTCCTTTTTCCCCTTTGCTGTCTGACCCCAGGGGAGTTGGGAGCTGCAGTGTTTGTTCAGCATTTACAACAAGAGAAACAGGACGTGCCTCGTTTGTGCAAGTTRCATCTTCTCGCTTACTCTTTGTCTTCAGAAGGTGCCAGCAGTGCCAGGGGTCTGTTTGTATGGGGTTGTTAGATTGCAGGATCTCCTTGAGCTTCTGCTTGAAAAAGCCCTCAAGAAGGTCTGCGTGTTTGCTAGTCTCTTGCTAGGTTAGCTTTCACCCACGCCAACATTTCAAGCAGCATCCACCATCTTGGGAGCTGTTAGTGCAGTTAGGAGAAACGTCTTGCCAGTAAGAACCAAGCTTTAGAGGCAAGGCACAGCTCGAGATTTGGAATGTGCTTAGCAGTGAYGTGGGCCTCTGAGCTGAGTCTTCCCTCTCAAACTAAGATATCTCATGTACTTGTTGCTTTCAAGTTTCCTGGTTTCTTTGAGCTCTTCTAGTTGAATTCATCTTAACCAGTGTCAGCCTGGAGATGAGCTTGAGTTACAATTTGTGTTTTGTCCCTGTGATGTGACTGGACAGCTGCCACCAGCTGAGTCTGAGCTGAGCTTTCATGGCCAGGGGCTTGCAAACTAAGTGAAGCAACAAAGTAGGCTTGCTTGAAGCTTCTGCAGCAAACCTGTTCCTGATGTGGCTGGCAGGTAACGTTCCTGGATTTCCTTAGATAGTATCTGACAGGACCTGCTGGGTTTCTGGAGCGGCTGTTTAGCCACCTGTGCAAGCTGGCACCCTGATGGTCTTTCCCGTTTGCCGGCATTCTTTATGGGGCTACCTCAAAAGCCCTCTCCTGCCCCTTGGAAAGCACTCTTCAAACGCTTGCATTTAGAGTTGTGGTAATCCAGAGACACTCTTCTCCAGGGCCTTATCACCTCTTTCCTTCCAGGGCTCAATCTTTCCATTATATTTATTCTGAAAAATGAACTAGAGAGTAATCACACTGACTGTCCCATTCCTGACGGGTGCAGAAAACATGAACAGCGTGAGATCCTTCCAGGCAGGACGTTTAAGAAGGTGTGAAGGAGAAGTCACTTGTTCTAAGTCTTTCCTTTCCCCTTMTTACCTCTTTTAGAAATTGCTGTCATGGGGCTTATTTGTGCTCTGTGTAGGTTTACCTTGTTTGTGGCTTTATTTACTTTGAAATAAGATACAGAGGAAGGGTAGTGCTTCTACCCAAAGATAGTGGGCAGCTCGAAAAAGGATTCGCAGCGAGTCTGCTAAACGGCTGGGAAAAGATGCATTTTGTCTGCAGTCTATATCCAACCGTTGCTGGCATCTCTGTGGCCTCCTRATCCCCCTCGATACCAGCTGTTGTATTCCTGGAATTAGGAGGGAGTCAGTAATATTCCTGTTCAAATATGGCATGTGTGTTAGAAGTTCGAAGACAAAATTCAGGAAGTGTGCCTGTCATTTTGAAAACCTAACTCAGGTCATTTAAAAGACTTAAGTCTCTGATTAGGGTGTTTCTATCCAGATGTTTTGCCTCTAAATGTAAGCAAAACTATATTGGTATATGAGTAAATGTAATGGCTTTAAGGGAAATGCTTCTCATGTTGCCGTGACCCTAGGAGAGCAGTTGGTTGTAAATATTGTAAGCCAATATTAGGGAGAGCATCTGCCAAAATACCAGTTAACCTCCAGCAGGAGAGTAAGTATAAGATGTGACTAATGGGCTTCTTGGCTTGTTTCTCATGTAGCTTCCTGAGACTCCATTTAAAGCAAATGAGAAGTTAGCAGATTGCACCAAGTGCATCCACTCTCTTTGCAAGAGTTGAACACTTGGCTGAATTGCAGTGGTGACTGGAACACACAGAGGTGTGGGACTGTTGTTCAAAACGCACAGTGTTTATGCAGTAAAACTTAGCTAATACCACATGTAGGCAGTATTCACATCAAAGCAGTTCACACTGTAATGAAATCGGTGACAATTTGTAGAAAACTAATAATCTTTCTTTCTGCCCAATAACTGAATATTTTAAAGAAACAAATACTAAAACAGTAGCTACCGCACCTATTATTAGTTTTTACTGCTTTAAAATAATATAAAATTCTCCTTCTGGTTTTGGGGGGAGAAAGGAAAGAGGTTGAAAAAGCTTTCTTGGGGTTACTGCCTTGAACTCTTATTTATTTTATCTTGAATTTCAGGACACCAGGGCAGTGCTTCAAAACTCCCTCCCAACTTCAGTGCAGGAAGAGGTTTATAGGAGGTGGCTGTTAATGCTTTTCTCCAAGCACTGTATAACGTGTGTTTCCTTTGTGTGTTTAAGCTTCAGATAGCGAGGAGGATGACGATATCAAACTTACAGTCCAAAAGAGCTTAGAAGAAACAAAGAAACAGGAAGGTGAGTGTTAAGTTAACACAGAATAGTATAATACAGAAGTAATACAGAAGGTAAAGAAATTAAGCTTAGATAATTCTCGTGGCAAGAGACCATGAAACCTTAGGCATACTCTAGAATATTCCARGTATTTCCCTGGGCACCTGTAAGTGGCTGAGAATACTGTGATGAGTTAAAAAGAAAAAAAAAATAAAAATAAATTGCTAGCCTGAAAGGTATGCCAGCAGACTCAAAACCTATTTTTATTGCTACACCACGTAATATTGTGAGATTAAGGCCTCGACTGAGCTCACTTCATACCAGCTTAATGTGGCTCTGGCTCCAGCAGAACTTCTCCGGTTGARCTCATGTGTAATAGTTGAGATTTGTGTATTATCTCACCAGGGGGACTCTGGTCTCTGCCAAGATTGAGACTGGAGATTGATGCTCAGTTTTCAATCTCTTGACAGGGAGAGTGACAGAGCCCTGGAACAGGCTGCCCAGGGAGGCTGTGGAGTCTTCTCTGGAGATCTTCCAAACCCGCTTCAATGCCRCTCTGTGCTCTGGGTGTCCCTGCTGKAGCAGGGGGGCTGGACTAGATGGTCTCTAGAGGTGCCTTCCAACCTCAACCATTCTGTGATTCTGTGCTTTAACAGTGCAGCTTGCTGTTCACATGCTGACATCATAGTGTACCTTATTTGAAATTGTCGTCATCCTTTTGCTCTCGTGCTTCTAGTGGYGGTGTTCAGACCGTGTAGTGAGTTATTTCTGGAGACAGACTGTGATGGCCTTTTAAAAATAACGTTTTGCTTAAAGGCTTGGCTATCACCTCCCACCTGACGGAAATAAAAAGACCTAAAACATAGAATCATAGAATGCTTATGGTTGGAAGGGACCTCCAGAGATCATCTAGTCCAACCCCCCTACACATGCAGGGACACTCAGAGCACGAGGCACAGGGTGGCATCCAGGTGTGTTTGGAAGATCTCCAGAGAAGGAGACTCCACARYCTMYCTGGGCAGCCTGTTCCAGGGCTCTGTCACCCTCGCTGCCAAGAAATTTTCCTTAGGTTCTCGTGGAACTTCTGGTGCCTCGGTTTGTGGCCGTTTCCTCTAGTCCTGTCAGTGGCTACCACTGAAAAGAGGCCGCCCCCTCCTCCTCACTGCCTCCCTTGAGGTATTTATACACGCTGATCAGGTYCCCCCTCAGCCTCCTCTTCTCCAGGCTGAACAGGCCCAGCTCYCTCAGCCTTTGCTCACAGGGCAGATGTTCCAGGCCCCTGATCATCCTSGTAGCCCTGCGCTGGACTCTCTCCAGCAGCTAAAACATCGTTAGACACTGGGTAGCAGTGATGCTACCAAGCATCAAATAACCCCGAGGTAGCAAATAACCAAGTAGCAAATAACCCCCAAGATAACCCAGGAGGAAGGGCCCTGGCACGTGTGCRGAGAGGAGGAAGCCCAAGGGGGCGAGGAGCCAGGAGCAGGCAGCATTTCCCCCCTAGAACCTCTCTTTCAAGCGTTTGCTTTTGCTCCCTCAGATGCCGAGGATGCCGAGCTGGAGGAAGCCATCCAGAGGAGCCTGCAGGAAATGTAGAGGGGGCTCCTGTGTGCACGAGCAGCAGGACGTCGGGGCAGCCGGCGTAACGGGAGCTCCCCATTGCCAGGGCTCGGAAATACCGCTTCGGAAAACGCCCGCGTCCTCCACTGCTAGAGTTACAGTCTGAAGACCTTCCTCATGCTGATGAGCGGCTGGAGCTTATGGGTGTATGCTGCAATACACTGTATATGATAAAAATAAATTTTTAAGTCTTTGCAAATGCTGTTTCTAACAAGCAACGACTGGGTCTCTCCAGTCTAGCTGCGTAAGTTGTTGCCTGAGAGGTAGGCTGGTCTTACAATGTATTTTTTTATTGGTTCTTGTATTTAATTCTTCTGTCACAAAACGTTTTTCTCCTTTTTCTTAAACATTTTTGTGTGGCCTTTGATAGATAAAAACCAGTAAACTTGGATGACTGGCAGACTGACCTGCCTATCTAATCTTGTTCTAAAGAGAAGCTTAGGTCCCAGTTTCACAAATTTAATACATGGTCTGAATCTTGTCCCTGCTGGGATCTCACCTCAGAAGACCCCAGGTTTGTCTACAGCCTGTTTGTTACAGATGGCAGAATCAGGTCCTCAGACTSCATAGTTAGTTTCTGTTAGCTTTATTTTTATAAATGTGTATATTTTTTTAATAGGAGTGTGGTACTGTTRTACTAGATGACTTAAAGTTTGGCAGGTTCAATCTCTCCCTAATCCAGGGCTGGAACAACCTTATCAGTAAACTGAAGGCAAAGAAACTTCCAATTTCCCCTTTGAAACAGATGTGAAAGAATTCAAGCTGCATCATTCCTCTCTGTTGGCTTTTTTCCTGCCCCTCTTCTTGGGGAATGGCCTTGAATACCTGGCTGTAGTTGTGTTTATYTTTGTACTCTCCTTCTTTTCAGGTGAATTTCAGTGTTGTTTTTTTTTCCTTGTGTGTGTGTTTCAACTTGTCACCTTGGTCACCTTTCTTAGCTCCTCCTTTAAAAATAACTATGCAAGCTGTCCAGCTTTACCAGCTTATTTAACTTGGATTGACAATTGTTAATCAGGAAGAAATTTCAATGTAATAAAATGTTATTTGATTTTTTTTAGTCATTAGCGTGTGATTTTGCTTGTGGCTGTTGTAAATATAAATATATATTATGCAAAAGAAAAAAGTTAATTCTGCAGGAATAAGACAAAAAGAAAGCTAAGTTTTAGTGACTCTCAGGCCCAAAGCATCTGAATAAGCACAGGTGTGTTTTACTATGGGAAAACTGACACTGATTTATTTCTGAGTGTGATTGCCCTACAATTGCCAAACAAAGCAATCTAGTGAGTTGGCTTGGAGCTCCTTGGCAGTCACAGAACTGGSAAGAAGAAACTGCAAACACAGAAAGTGGTTTGAACATTTTCAGTGCRTTTTAAAAATAAAAGGCAGCTCTGAAGCCAAGTGTCCCAGAAGAAAGAGGACTTCACGCTGCTCTTTCTCTGCTGTCTCTTCAGCTTGCTGTGCTGAGTGCTGCTCCGGGGAGCCTGGGCAGGGCTGCAGGCTGCTGAGGCAGCACCGTTTCAGGAGAGCTTGASTCACCTTGAGCTGGTGATGCTTGAGCTGAATCAATGCCTCGCTGACTAAATGCTTCCCCCTAATGAAGGGTGAGATAGGACGGAGGAGAATTTTCATCCCCCCCCCCCCAAACAGTTCAAGTTGTAGCTTCTGGGCCAGTTGGTTGTTGTTCTGTTGTTTTCCTCCACCCAAGCACTAAAGGTTCATATTCCTTTCATATGACAGCCTTGTGCTTGATGAATCATCACTTMATTGGCTGCATTAGGAAACCAAACCAAACAGCATGGAAATGGATCTTGTGCTGTCCTCTTCATCAGCTTCCCGAAGGGAGTGGTAAATCCCGGCACTGCCTCTATGGCTTTTATAAAGCAGATAAAGMGAGGTCCAGTCTGCATTGCTTTTGTGGTTAAAAGTATTCTCCAAGTTTATCAGTGTCTTGAAACTTCTGATCTTTTTGCTTTCTGTAAGGTCCTCGCTGTCTGGAATGTTTCTTTGCAAAGCTCCTTGTGGTACTTCTGTTTCCAGAAGAACAACAGAAAATGCATAGCATTGTATGGAGAGGCACATGACATGTTTTGCACTGTCACGTCATGGCATGGCACCTGAGTGCTCACCTGTAAAAGGTGCCTCGCACMCGCCGTGTTTCTGAAGTCAGTGTTTCAAGCTGGAGGGGTCTTGCTTAACTGGCCCAAGGTTTTGAGGTTTGCCCTGTGCCTTCTGAAAGGTGTTTGCGCTTATCGACAACTCGCTTGTTAAAGGAGGCTTGTCCAACATCATTTGCACCGTAAGTCATTTGTCCTGCCCTTTTTTTAAGATTAATTGCTTCTAAGGTCGTGTTTGAATTCACCCTTAGTTACTCCAGATTCGTTACTTGGTGCTTTGTCATATTCATCTCTAAAGAAAAATGCTCTGTATCTCTACCTGACTACCAGCAACCTACTCTTTCTTTCATGTTAATGTTCCAGTTTTCTGTACAGTGCACCCAAGTTCTGTAAAACTTGAGAGGTGAGTGAAGAGTGGTTCAGGGTTCCCATCCTTGCTGCTTCATCATGATGATGTTCAAGGAGACGATGAGAAGCCAAATAAATCTGTGTAAAGGAGAAGTCACTTGGCACTAGAACTTCATCTCTGCTCGGTTGCTTTTGTAGTGCTTAAGAAGAGTTTGTTTAGATTTGGTTTTATGTGGAATTTTGAGAGGATGAGATTAGTTTATTGTAAACTACTTGCCTTGTATAACAGTGATGGGTATTTGAATGATGGATTAATTTCCTTAGCGCTCAGGATGCACAGAAGTGACCGCTCGGGTACCTGTCGTGGTCACATCACTTGAGGCCTGAGACACCTCGATGGGAGCTCGGCCTGGCAAACATTACGTAACACACGAAACATTACCCAACCTTTACCAAATAAGGTGAAGTTTACAGAGGTATGAAATAACGCCGGATTTTTTCCTTAAAGGGAAGGGTTCTGTCATATGCTCGTGTTGTCCCAGCAATGTTTATAGTGACTGCTGTAAGTTGGGAGGAGGTGAGAAGGGCGGGTGACAAATTGTTTTATAATTCATTGGGAAAACTTGGCGGCCGTTAACACACAGAGCCTTTCTGGCGACTCCTTGCAGCTGAGCAGCAAGGTGTAAGGGCAGGCTGTGAAACTCTGCGTACTTCTCTGATAGTTCCGAACTGCCCGAAAATTATCTGCAGATTTTTCATTTCGGGAGTTGCAGCTCAGTTGTAACTTTCTGGGCCAAGTAATATGGTCCAGCACAATATAAAAGCAAGTGAAAACAAATGAGAAAATGTATGGTAAGTGGCAGGTGTGTGCAAAGCTTGTGCTTAAAGCGCTGTGCGTGTAGAAGGGTCCAGGTAAGGTGYCCCTTGTAAATCTGTGGACGCTTCGTTTCGCTGGCTCCGCTATCCCAGTTCCTGGGAGGCCTCCGGTGGTTTTTGCCGAGAGCTTTACCCAAAACGGGCCCAGCACGTGCAGCTGTAGAGAATTTACTGCCTCGTTTGCTAAGCAGCTTTCCTCTCGGTGAGGATCAGCTGCCCCGTGCCCTGAACTGCTCACGCTGCCTCTCTGATTCTCTTTGAGATGGAAACCGAACCTCACGCGGGCCCATCTTCAGCGCTGCGGCTGTGCCCGCGCCGACGCCGCATCCGCATGGYGTGTGCGGGATGTGCTGCCTTTCCCAGCGGGATGTGTGTGTTGGAGGCTGGAATAAGGTGAAACTGGAGCTAAGGGGGTATTCAGCAGCGTGCCCACTAGTGCTGTCACCGAAAACCAGGAATAAACCTCTCAACACCAATGCAGTATTAAGAAGCAGGCATATTCACTTTATTGCAGCGCTGGATGCACGGGGGATAGTTCCACCCATCATGCGTGCCCTAGGGGGTGCTTGCTAAAACTTTCTATTTCTCTATTATCTACATATGCATTAAATTCTAGGAAATGATCATACATACTCATTCCATTTCCTGGAACTAATGACAACATACCCCACCCTCACACGCATGCGCCCTCTGTCCCTTTGGTRGTCYCTGGGGGTCTTTTTGAGACCCCCTGGTGGTCATCTTCCCAGAAGTCACTTCCATATATGGCTTCATTTTGACTCAATAGGCCCTGTTTTGGTTCTCCTGTCCTGCTTCAGCCAGTTCCACGAAGACACGGTGGTCCTTATCTTCGTCTTCTACTGGTGTTTGCTCCTTTTGTCTGTATTCTCTCATGATGTTCCAGCAACACCTGCCCTTTTGTCCATCCTCTCTCATAATATACCAGCAACAACAATGAAAATATGTCCTTGGGTGCATTTTCTTCTAGGGTTTTCTCCTAACAGTCCAGCTCGTGCTGCGCATCCTCTCGCTTGCCCGTGTGCTTGTGTCCGAGGCCGGGAGGGCTCCTCTCTTTGCTGCCCTGCAGCAGTAGATCCCTTGCRTGCGAGTGGGGATCTCTGCGGGTCGCCCTGTGCTGCAGGGTGCATCCTTCCTGATGCTGCTCCTAAAGACCAGGAGGGAGGAATGGGCGGCAGCTGCTCCAGAACATCCCCTTCCTTTGCCACAGGATGAGGATGGGATCTGTGCCCCGTTTCAGATGGGCTGCCCTTCCTTCCCCTGGCTCCTGGCAGCCCTGGAGCACCTAATTCCTGCCTCGGCACCCCCTGCTCCTTTTCCCAGTGCAACTGTGCATCTCTTCCCTATCTCCAGGGACCTGACTGCCCCCTTCCCAGCATGTTATTATCTAATATCCTAGCACATATTATTTTGGCACAGTGGTGACAACTGCTCCTTTATCTATCTCAGCAAGCAACAGAGCGCCTGATGGAAAACAGTCGTGCACAGCTGCACCCGCAGAGATCCCAGCCCTCGTGCAGGGGCCAACATCCTCATTCAGCTACTAGCTGTKCTCGTTTTTGCTTCCCAAACACAAACCAATTAATACTTAGTAAATCAGCAGCGAAGGAATAGAAGGATCCTAGGGGAAGTGTTTGCAAATTGTGTCACGTTATTGCCGGGTTTCTGTTTGTGTGTGCTTGAGGGTAGAAGTGGGTTTTTAATCACTTTCTGCGTAGGGTGCAGTGAGATGGACAGGACAATTGTCGAACAACTAAATTATTTCTCTGAGCAGACCACAGCCCTTCCTTATCCAGCCATATAAAAATACTAAAAACTAAAAAAAACTCAGGCAATTAGCTTAGCAAGAGGGCTGGGAACATGATATCATTCTGAACGGACAAGCCTGAGAAAAGGGCTATTTGCAGAGCAAGCACCGAAACGCCRTTCCTGGGCAATAAGAGCCCTGTGAACTGGATGCCAAGGATTGGTCTGTCAGAGAACTGCAGTATTTGTCCAAACCTGAAACTGGGGCTAAGCAAATTCCTCCTGACATAGTCACAGAAAGGGCAAGTCAATTTTACATAKGCCTTGAATTGCTGGTACCAACAGGAACCTGCGTATGGAAGATTTCACTGATTTAAGTTTCCGAAGTTTGMTCCACTCTAGGGAGATAGGAGTTATCTAGTTTACAGAGAGAAGATAAATAAGATTTTAAAAAGTCATTACTAGATATAGAGCCACTGATTTTGCTACGATAAAATTGTGGGAGGTTTTATTTGTTTGGCATAGCAAGGAAGTGTTAAAGCAATTTTCTTCTCAGTAAATTTTTCTTGTCCTTTTGTGGACAAGATACTTTGCAAAACTGCTTCTGTGTCTAACTCAGTGACTCTTGCACTTAGTATCACAAGGATATGCTCTATCGGTACATGTAACGTACCTATATTCTGTACCTCTTAATGTAAAACATTAACTGTTTTTCAACTCCCATTCCCGTGCTGCTTATAGCAAGTGCTGTCTCGGGTTTACTCTTAGTTTTTTTTCTCGCCTCAAACAGGCTTCTGGATTTTTAAGGCACTTCCAAGTTTTCCTCTTCTGCTTTGTCCCTTGTGCGTTTGGGGGTGTTTGATCTTTGCGTCCCCAGCTCGCTGTTGTGACAGGGGTGCGTGCACAGATGTGTGTAGGGGGTTGTGTATCGCATATACACAGTCACACACACACGGCGGGGGGCGGGTGCCGGGGCGGCGGGAGGAGAAGCCCCTCGTCCGCCGGCAGCTCCCGCGAGCCCGGGCCGGGACGCGGCCCCGCTGCGGGCTCCCCGCGGGACCCGCCGCCCGCTCCG